GTTAGCCTAATGAGCAGCATAGATTGCCCTCAACCGAGGGATAGGCTGCCCATCACTCTGTAAGATCATATCCCTACTCAGAAATCCTCATCATGTAATCAGATCTTGCCGCACCATGAGGAGGGGAGGAGACAATCCAAATAGGGAAACTATCGCTAAAAACACACACGTAGCAGAGCCCTGGTACCCCCACTGCACCGCCTTGCCTGCCACGTGGCGAATCCTAGTGTTTATACCACAGGGATATGACCCCCCGGGTAGCTTAGCAAAAAATCGAAGTCATATAGGCATGTCACGTGGCCACCTCGATATAAACGCAGAAATTCGTCTGAGCGGCAACGCAGGCACGTATGTGTAACTAGTGAGCAGCATTGATTACCCTCAATAGAGGGGATTGACTACCCACCCCAGCATGGATTCATACCCTACCCTGAAATACTCATCTACTACCCACAACCTTACAGCACCATGAGCAGAAGGGGCAATCAGAGCCGGCCTCCCTAAAAGCTAAAAACCTAATGGCCACGTGGCGGAACCCTAATGAGTCACACACAAAAAAATCCGTAGCGCCGCTTCCCCGGCACTTCCTGTCCTCGCCACCTGACAAGAAACCAGACATCGCATTTGCAGGCCCTAACGACTCATACCCTGTTGGCACGTGGCTAGAACTGCCCTATTACCACGTGGCAACCAGCAGATGTGGTAAGACAATCCAATATCTATCCCACCCCCTCACACACCCAACCCACTCCTAGCTCTCCCCACGCCCATCGAATACACTGAACGAACCATTCGAAAAGCCCTCTCGCCCTCCCCCCAGGTCATCAACACGATTGCGAAGGAGGAAGAACAGTGGGGAAGAGAAGGGGGAGAGGGAGAGAACGGAAACCCCTACCACACTTACCATGGTCTCATGCGGTCTGTCGGAAGCTCCTTTCCTGTTGTCCAATGCTATTATCGCGGCAGTTCTGCCGAGGGACACTCCTCACTGGTGGATGAAAAGGCGGACCGGGGGGACATGGCGGGACTTGGACATTGCGGACGACGCCACCGATGAGTATTTCCATGACAAACGGCGAATGTCATGCACCATCTTCAGCAACATCGTGGCAGCTTGCAGTCCGTTTATCGAGCATAGACTAACACAATACTGAGAGCCTTTGCTCCTCCCCCCCCCCATCCCATACCCCTCTGCCCCCCTTCTGTATCCATCGCCCATGCCTGTGCTCACCGAAGCAGCCTGTCGAAGCTTCTTCGAACCCCTCCTTCCACGTCGGCTGCAATTGCCGGCCAGTCGCCACACGTGCAGAATGATCACCAATGCCAACGCCCCAAGCAGGAAAATGAATAGAGCCGTCTCCCTCACCATGCCAGCCATGTGCTCATCCCGTAAAGTACAAGGAATGGAGCTGGCACCTATCGAACCGGACGAAGGGCTGCAACATATGGGAGCACACGTGATGACCGACGGAGGAAAGGCACGAGGACCGATGGGCGCCGCCGACATCCTGCGCTCAAATTTGAACGTCCCCGCCAACGGTCATCTCACCTGCCTCTGCATGGGTCCGTGCAACGGGCGCCTTCAAACGGAACCCGAAACGCCCTGGTGGAGGGAATGCAGGGGCAACCGCAATGGCACCGCACGACCGTTGTAGGTTGCTGTGGGCCTGCTGTCCCATGGTCTACCGCGATGACAGGCGCCGCCAGCCAAAAAAGAACAGACGTGTGCTGCTGGCAGTTCAGAAAAAAGTTTGCCGCCCAGTGCACCCCCTCCAGTCCTGGGTGTACTTGCAGTTCAATATTCCGCGGGACGCTGGGCCTAGTTCCCAGCAGGTGCCGTTGCTCACCAATTGAGCGGAGAGTCTGGCAAGCAATCAGCAGCCCTACGACCGAGGGGCTACCCACTGGGGCAGTAGGCTGCTACATGGAGCAGATTTCAGAAAAAAAAACACAGATGAAAAAAGAAATAAGTACGAACGAGACAGTAGTTAGTAGTTACTGAGCAACGTGCGTTTAGGGCATATCAGGCCCCGCACACGCATGGCCTTGAACCGGCACCCTCAGCAGGCTCAAGAACGAAGTCTCGTAACCACTACAACCCTTCAAGATGTTATAAAAAACTGGATCCATACCGGTCTTGATATCCAGCCGCCCCCAGGGCTGTAGCGTCCTTAAACTCGCACCGCACACAGAACACCACACCACACACTCCGCTCGCACAACACGCAGCCCCTCCCACCACAGCTACTTAACCCGGTCACTCGCAGGCGGGCCAACTTCCTACGAACGAGGCAGCTTTTGCGTTCGCGGAGACAAAAAAAAATCACGCCCTGACAAAGATATCACGGTGCAAGTTTGAAACGGCAATTTCGGTTGGAATAGATCCATTGTCCCTTTCCTTTTTTTTTTTCCCTTTCCCCGTCCGCCTGTAGTTATGACACCTGTGCCTGTGTCATGGCCGTGGTACTTTCATTGCTTTTTCAAACTCGGCGGCCGTTTCCTTTGCCGGCACGTGTTGTTTCTGCACTTTCGAAACTCTGTTGTAACATCAACACACTTGCCCCCCAAAGAAACACAGTTAGACCATTTTTTAATTATTAATATTATTATTATTATTACTATTACTATTATTATTATTATTAGACCATATGTTTCCAAAACAGTAGTTTTTGTTCTTTTGAAGATGACAAATCAACATGTGATATGTACTTATGATGTGCTTGACTCACCACATGAAAATAGACTGTGCGCCTAGAGGCGTCCTCACTGAATTATGCAGCATAGGGCCTCTGCGCACCACTCACCAAATGCACAAAAGACAAAAATTATGCCGCTGTACCTTTCCACATTTGAGGGGAATATTCATTCTCATTTTGCATATTAGGTGAGTGCCTCGATGTGGCGCTCACTCACTCACCTTGTGAGTTCTATACCCGCTCGCTTCTGCGCCTTGAGACACACACAATCAGGCTGAATCAGCTACGCTACTTACTCAGCCATGCCCCAAATTCCAAACCCCCTTCAAGTTGGTCCCTCCTCCATCTGACCACTCCCAAATATACAGTCCTCTATACTACAGTCTGTTCGGGTCGGTCCCCGGTGCTCTGCACCTGTCCCGCCATTTGGCTTGTCACTCCGAAACCAACAAAAACCAGAAGAATGTTTTCCAAAACAAACACTTTTCAATTTTGTTAAACCGCCAGTACCTTTCCGCACTTGGGAAAAGAAGAAAAAAAAACCTACCACGGCGTGTTATCCGGAAAATTCAGTGGGGAATCGAAATGGCTGGCAGCGCCAGCGCCAGATACATCGGTGACGGTTTGTTTTTCTTTGGCGCGCAGGGCGAATTAGGCCCCTGTGGCCGATATATGGGAATGGTACTGGTGGTTTCATTTCGAATAATTGTGGTACTGTGTAGAAAAGAAAAGAGAGAGAGAGAGAGAGAAAAGGCGAACGAACTTTGTTCCCAGCAGGTGCTGCTTCTCAACAATTGAAAGGTTCTATCATCCTGCCAAAAGAAAAAGGGGAAAAAAAAATTCAAAAAATACCTTAACCCTGGCATGAAAGCACAGTCAGAAGACCGTCCCATCTTTTTTCCGTTTTAGGGTTTTGACCGGGCCCATGATAAGGAGATCACGGTGTAATTACTGCGGAGGGGGAGAGGGAGGGGGGAAGGAACCAGAGGGCCCAGGGGGGACCCCTGCCCCTCGACTTCCTCAAACCTTTTTCGCCCTGAAGGGGAAAAAAAAATTCAAAAAATACCTTAACCCTGGCATGAAAGCACAGTCAGAAGACCGTCCCGTCTTTTTTCCGTTTTAGGGTTTTGACCGGCCCCACGATAAGGAGATCACGGCGTAATTACTGCGGAGGGGGAGAGGGAGGGGGGAAGGAACCAGGGGGCCCAGGGGGGACCCCTGCCCCTCAACTTCCTCAAACCTTTTTCGCCCTAAGCTTCCTTAAAAAGTCGTAGCTTCCTCAAACCTTTTTCGCCCTAAGCTTCCTTAAAAAGTCGTAGCTGGGTAAGGGGCCCGGTCCTTCTCGTTTCCGGATGTTTTTATTGTATGGGACGCTGGACCCAGTGTCCAGCATTCGTTCTGGAACAGGGGCTGCAAAAGCAGAAGCTCGGGGCATTTTTCATACCCGTGTTTTCGGGGGTATCCAACGACATACCCCAAACTTTAGGGGTATTTCAACAATTTCCCCTTACAAAAAAACAAACTGCAAACGGGTCCTGCAGTTCTCCAAAATTATGTGTGACAATGTGCGTCCAACTTGTGAGGCACAGTCAGTCAGTACTCAGACCTCGGACCCATCCGTGCACTACGGGTGGAATCGGACGGGCACCCCCTGGTCACAAAAGCCAAGTCTGCTGACCGCTACAGCCATTGCACTGTATACGAACGTGAAACCATACTGGGCATCCATCCCTGTATGGATGTAGTCTCCTGACACACACACATGCTACACGCACACACACACACGCATGCACGCATGCACGCACGCATGGACGCACGCACACACGCACATGCGCACACACACATGCACGCACACACACACACACACACACACACACACACACACACGCACACACACACACACACACATGCACGCACGCACGCACGGACACACACACACATACTGGTCATCCATCCCTGTGTGGATGTAGTCTCCTGACACACACACATGCTACACGCACGCACACACATGCATGCACGCATGCACGCACGCATGCACGCACACACACACACACACACACACACGCACACACACACACACACACACACACACACACACACACACACACAGGCAAATGCCAGACAGGCAATTCTTGCACACTTTTCTCCAATCCAGCATATGACCGTTGTCCAATACAGAGAGGGGCTTTGGAACCTTTCCCTCGTGTCATGTTCGCTATACAACTCCAGAAAAAAACGCATGACTGTGCCTGACAGTTTCACCAGACTTTCCCCAACTCGTCAGGAGGTCATGTGCGACGTGATGTCTTAGTTGCTTGTTCATTTCTGATGCAGGCAAAGATTGCTTGCTGATTAAAATATGGGCCGGCAGGAGTAAAATGGCCAAAAAAGTCTTCAAAAACTTCAAAGAAGTTGGAGAAAACCGTGAGGTCAAGAGAAAAGGCACGATACAAAATACAACGGGTTCTGCCAACAGAAGCGAAAACCCAAGACAGAGAAAAAGGCTCGCATTAAAAAAAAAAAAAAAAAAAAAAAAAAAAAAGCCTGCATGACAGTGCATGTAGCAAATTTAGCACGACTTGCCGATAATCCCCAGGAGTACACTGACGTCATTCAAAGCTGTATAGCGTGATGTCACCCGCCTGCCTAAACATGTCGAACCGAATGATACCCACCTGCTGGGTGCAAAAGGCTGTGAAAAGGTACAATGGCGATCGGCAGTCCAAAGTTAAAGTCGAAGAAAGCTGCGCACCCTCCAGATCGGTGACCTTAGAGCCCAAGGTTCTGACGTCTGGCCTCAACAGCCACCACTGGTGTAGTTCAATCCTCGTTGATCGTAACCCCCCAGTACCTTTCCCAGCCAAAAGAAAAAGGCCGCCGGTTAACGCGGAGGCCGATGCAGGTCGTGCGAGGCGGTCAGATTCAGCCCGAATCGTTAGCGCCCAGGGCCCGCGGCCAACATATGGGAAAGGAACTGGCAGTTTAACCCCCCAGTACTTCCCAAGGCACTTTTCTCCGACCCTCGGGATGCCCTGCGCACCGAGAAACGAACTGCGGCGGGCCGTTGACGAAAAACATCATCGGTCGCGAAGGCCCCGAAAATTGCAACGCATATACAACAAGGGCCCGCCCGCGACCAATATATGGGGGCCGAGTACTGGTGGTTTATAGTAAAACCTCCTGGGTGCAAAAAGCTGTGCAGAGATAAAATGGCGATCGGCAGTCCACTCGAAGAAAGCTGGCACAACGAGACGGACACGACTTATTCAACGCCGTTGAAGATACTCGTAGTGAAGAACTCGCCGCAAAGACTCAAGCTCGTCGTGAAAGGGGATCACTGGGAATAGCCAGCCCTTGGTTGAACTCCGACCGTGTCTCTGATACGCAGCTGAATGGAATACTCGTGAACGTGAGATGCTGGTGGGATAATTGCCCGGACGTGTTCGGCAAGGCCGGTCCGCTACAAGATCGCACAACGTCTAGCCTCCAGAGGTGTAACTCTAGAGCTCAAGGTTCTGAAGACTGGCCTCAAACATCCACAGTTGCTGGTGTAAGGCAATCCTTTCCCCCCAAAAAACTTCCCAGAAAGAAATTTAGTTCTTTTTTTTTGCGACTTATACTCCTCTGATGGGGGAGCATTCCGTCAATGTTCCTCTCGGCCCCCCTTACGATTCAGTCCGAATCAGCTGCATCTGGGATGGAAGCCTTGATCTGCTCTAGACTTCCTCATGCCTGAAAACTGATCTGCTGCAACTCCTCTGATGGGGAAGCTTTCTGTCAATGTTCCTCTCTGTCCCCCTTATACTCCTCCGATGGGGGGGCAGTCCATCAATGTACCTCTCT